ATCCTAATCCTATAGATTAGAATGAATGTAGAAATTTAACTAAATTTATTTTATTTTTCTAACTAGGTTGTGTTATTTTATTTGTCAGTTGGTCCACTTAAGTGCAAAACACCAAAAGTTTTGTCTGTTTAGAATTGATCTGCTTGAATATGCTATATGTTATGGAGGGTTTTGGCTTGAGAAGAGCAGTCTTATGTGTTAGAGTGGTGTGTGTGCCTCCAACATTGTATTAGTTCTTCCTAAATAGTAAAATTGAATTGTGAACTTTGTGAATATTTTTCTCCAAATTAATTTTTGCTGTAAAAAGTTGGAATCAGAATATCTGTTACCTCTTAGCTTCTCATTATATCAATCAAGTGCAACTTCACCCTCAGGATCATTCAGGTTCTTTACGCGGAGTTCAACGACCCTCAAATCCTTGAGATGTTGCAGGATCTCTTGGAGAAGATCCACTCCCTTGTCTCCCTTCTTTATGGAGCCCATACAATGCTTTAGAAACTCCCTGTCTGCTTCAAGAGCTTGTAGCCTCTCATAAACATGATCCACCTCCTCTTCAATGGCTATTTTGTTATCATGCAATTCAAAACTGGTAAATGAATTCTGCATTCCAGTAGATTCAGATTCAGCTTGTTCTTCATGCATCAACCCTTCCTCAGTTTCATTGTCAGTTGCATCCAAAAGTGGAAGAAGCCTCTTAGCCATGGAACCCAACGTTTGTCTCTCAGGATGGTGTTGATCCTTAGAAAATCCATTCGATATCCCATTTTCTTCTGGACTACTAAAATCATGATTCTCTTCTAAGTCTTTGACACTACACGTTGAGGAATGCTCAATTGATTTAACATCCTCGGAGAATTCCTCATTTTCACCCAATGTAATTAGCTTCTCCTCCAATGCTTTAAGCTGATCAAGAATGGATAGCCTCTCTTCCTCGAAGCCTGCTAGTGATTCATCAAGAACACTCATATTTTTAACACAATCCAAAGCTATTTCTTCCAAACTTAGAGCTGCATCATCTGTAGTATTGTGGTTACTGGTTTCTTGTTGGCCACCAAAGCCACTATCTTCATCCCTCGCTTGAGAATTAAGATCAATCGATAGCGCATCACTATCCCATGAATGGCTGCAAGAAGCAGAAGAGTTTCTACTTCTTACACTTCCATATTTAATTCTGCTCACAGTCCTCATCTTCTCTTTTTCCTCATAATCTAGGACTTTCTTTTGATAAACTTCCACTTCTTTCTCTAGTTCTTGCTTTTCCTTCTCCTTTTTGTTCATCAACTCATTCAAAAGTTGTAAGGCATCCTGATCATACTCAGATTGTTCTTCCATCATCCTCTGGTATTGCAATGCCTCCATTTGCATTGCTGCCTTCTCTTCCTGAAGCCTTGTTATCATAGCCATAGTCTGGTTGGCAGCAATTGCAGACGCACTCCTCTCTTCCTCTAGTTCTGCATATAAAGAACTTAAAGCTTTACGTTCAGCTGTCAGCGCTGCTTTGAGCCGTCCAATGGTTGCAACAGGATCCCCAACTTCCATCTCACTTACCACACTTCCATCTAAATACTCTTCTACCGCTGATTCTTTTTTTTCATCCAGTTTCTTGTGCAAGTAACCAAGACTGTTTACAGAAGTTGGTGTGGCAGGAAAATTCTCTTCCTCTGGTTCATTAGGCTCTGAACACATGCATGAATGATTTATTTCTTCTTGAGCCCTTTCAAGCATACTTGTTTCCTCTTGCAATGTAGCTCTTTCTTCATGCCATATACCTGTCAAAACTAAATATATTTTAAAAGCCAGCTCTTTCTGATTTGATAATTACACTACTTACAGTACTATGTGTTTCATCAAATGGATTTTTGTCTGTAGGTAGAGGTAAGAATGAACTTGAGATTTACCATTATCATTCTGAGCCAAGAATGTGTCAGGTACATTGGGAATTTCGAAGCATGGCGATGAAGAACCTTCTCGAGCTTGAGGCTGATCAGTTGCATGGTCAGACAATTCCATATTTGCCAAACTTCTTGATAGAATGTGATCAACAAAAGTACTTTCTTCTTCAGATGCTGCTTTCATTAAGAAACATAATTAGAATAGGCCATCATGGTCCGGGAAGAGAAATAGATTGCAGTGAATAAATGTCATGAATAATTGCAATTTCTCTGTACCTGGTGGATCATTTGGTTCCTTCTTATCCGGCTCTTCAATGTGAACAAATAATTTTTGACCACCTGGAGCAGTGACAACTTGATCAGATGGCATGCCAACCAAATCTTGTTTTCCCTCTTCTGCATCCACAACAGAAGAATTATCACTAAAACCCCTGGCCTTCTCCAGGCTTTCAAGATCCCCATTACTTGTCTTCAGTGAACTCTTGTTTATCATGAACAATGCTGCTTCTCCCGAGAGTTGATGTCGCGATCCAATACTTGGCTCAGAATCAAAACTTCCTTCTTGATGATCATGCTCTCTCACATCTTCCTCTTTTGCATTGCGAATTCCTTGGTCTATTCTTGTTGAAAAATCAATCAACTCAATGGGAATCAACCGATGATTGAGGGCACAGACCATACCATTTTCGGAAGGCAGGGGGATAATTTCAAGAGAGTAATCTTCTCCAAAGCAACACTGGATGGTAGTAGCACTAGCATCAGAGGATTGATGGACAAGCTTCATGCTGTTAGAATCTGACCGTATAATGTCACGAGAACCTGCTTTGTTATCTGCATTCGCGTCCGTTTCATGACATAGAAACGTCGATCTAGACCTTGGACAATCTTCCCCTGCATTGCCTCTGAAGCTAGAACTACAAACATCAGACGAGAATTGATGTTCATCTGCCACTCTATCATCCTCATGTTCTTCATTAGTTGTTTCCATCTCATAACCATTGTCACTGTCGGTTGACAGGCTATCAGGTTTGGTTGTGCCTTGGTATTCTATGGTTGAATTTCCTTTCTTGGCATACTCCAAGGAACCCCAAGACGGCTCAAACGGCGAAGAAGGAGAGTAGAGCTTGCTGTTCAAGCTCTCACTGCAGCAAGAACATACACAAGGTAATTTCTCTTCTTTTTCAAGCTTGTTCTCACTCAACCACGAAATGAAAGCCATACTTGTTGGCATTCCAGTAGAATTTCCTCTAAAATTTGGTTGAGAAGCCAAGCAGTTGCCGCACATATTATGTGATTTGGCCAGTTTGTTATGATGCAAACAGTAGCACATGTATGATATCTCAGTGGCATGCCTCTCACATACATCATCTGTGTAAGACTTCGAGTTCTTGCCTCGTTCCAAGATGTGCTCAACTCTACAAGTACACAATGGGCAAGGTGGTTTGAGGCCAAAGTACTTGGAAAATTTTGTGATCAAGTAACTGAACAAAGAGTTGAGGAGGAGGAGCATTATCAAAGTCCATTCAAGGACAGCATACACTAGAATTACAATGAACTTGGGGACGCTTCTATGCAACCTGGTTGCAAACTTGTTGGGAGCCATGGATGTAGAGAGAGAGAGAGAGAGGAATGCTTTTCAAGTTTAGATAGAACAAGACTGAGCTGTTGCAAGAGAAGCAGAGATGCTTCCCAGTTTGATGTACTTTTTTTTAACGGTAGTATATTATTATGTACATGCCAAATTTTGTCTCGGGAAGAACTTGGTAACATTGGTTAAAGACCATTTTTAACTTTTTTTAAATTAATGGGAGACTTAAATTCGACTTGAAACCTCTTCCAACTTTAATAAGAGAAATACCACTAAACAAATAGGTAGTTGGTTCCGAATGTTTGTTAAAGACTGTATTACCGCTGTATAAGGAAGTACATGCTACATCTAATACTCATAATCAGACCCCTTACACCTCCAATTTAAGCTTTCAACTTTCAAGTGATGATCTCAAATTATTCTTTAATAGTTTTCTTAGTTGTCAACTTGTTAATTGATACTTAGATATACCACTAATATAAACTATATGCTACTTGGGATTCTTATATTGAAATTAAAGTGACAGGCAGGGAATGATGAAACATGGGTTGTCAACAGTGGCAGGCATGATGGAAAAGCCATGAAGAAAGAAAAAGGTTAGTGGAAAAAAAGGGAAGGGAGTATATCAAATTGGGGATTGTGACAGTGATTGAAGAGCCTTTGTATGAATAAAGTTGGTTAATAATGTTTGTGGGTTATGGTCTCTCTCCCTGCTTTTGCTCCCTGGCGGGCCTCTATGCTTTCTTTAACTTTTGAAAAGTTGAGGCACCTAAGAAATATAATCAAAGATTCTAACTAAAGCATACCAAACCAATGCTTTTTGGAAAAAAAGTCTAAAAGAATAAGTCAGAGTTACCAAACACCCTTAATAAAGGCCAATGGGGTCAAGCTTAGTGAAAAATAGCATCAACTCCATTGGTCTCAGGTTCGAATCTCATGACATCTTAACAGTGTAAACGTGAGAAAACCATCCTCTCTTCCTAACTTCGACTGAAAAAAAAAACACCCCCCAAAAAGGATAGTGTTTAACAAGAATTAAAAAAATAGTAGCCCCACATGCGGCTAAATTGCTCATGCAAATTCCAATCACAAAGGCAAACATTGGATAATGGTAAGAACTTAGACAGAGTAGAGACTAAAGTTGGGAGGGACTAAAATGATGTTATGGGGTCGTCTTGTCTCTTGAATTAAAATCTGTCGAGAGTGCAATTCATGTGCAACTACAATTATTAAATGGACCCTGATGATGATCGCTTCTTGTATTTTGGTTTGTAGAACAGATATGGTTTAATTTGGTAGCATATTGTAAAAACGGAATTTTAACCCATAACCATACTAACTGGCACCAATAAAATGATTGAAACAAATTTTCCTTTTATCATGGTTCAAACATTTGCAAACCAGTCATCTGCCGTAGTTGATCAAATCAGTTTTTGAACTTGACTAGTATTTGACACAAACCAAAACGACACGATTCGAATATGACTCGATAACATGATAGGATTTGTAACTAATCACCATGTCCTAAGTTTGAACCCCGTAGATTATCAAAGCATTGTTTTTGCTAATGATATGACATATATTTCAATAATATAAAAAAATGTAGCATTTTATTTACAGAATTTTGATCACTTTATGGTAATTAGTGAGGGTCTATATCCTACAACTAATTTAACCCTCCATGTGAATACCTACACTACAGTTGTCTTAACACGTCAATCTGTATCTTCATTGTCGTCAGCTTCTTGGGTTTCCCATTCTTCAATGGGGTTTTGGTTCATCGTAAACCTCCAGCTATCTCCTTCCTCTATCTCCCATTGTCTCTTAAGTTCAAAGATTGCTTTAGTGGCAGCGGCAGCAATTGCCGGATTGCTATCCTCTGCGAGTCTCTGCAAGGAAAACGATGGACATAAGTTTCTGGCATCATTATGGCAAAGAATGATGATTAACATTATGTAATGACCATGTAACCTGTAGTGCTCCCATTCCTGCATTTCCAAGAGTCCACATCGATGGAGCTGCAGCCAAGGCATTGGCTAAGGCTTGCCTATACAACAAAAAACAAATAGAGAAGAGTGGATGATATACAATATAAGTAATGTTAGAGTACAGAGCAACGAGGGATTTAAAATTCATAATTCATACAGGGTTCCTTGTCAATGGCCTATGTCACTAAATCTTGAAAATTTGAGAGGTTTCTTTTTACACTCCTTTGATACAAGAGGTTTCATGAGCCTTGTACATGCACGTTGGTTGGAAGATTAAAGCATATTACATTTGGCTTTGTACTTTGACATCTTTTTTTCAGAACCATAAAGACCAAACTCATAGCTTAAGAGGGGGCCAACATTGTCTAGGGGGGCTAGAAGATACATAACTACTGCTTGCATAACTTACCTGGTATTGACATCAGGAGAATTTGAACACTCTGCCAATAACGATACACTACTTTTACCATCCATAGCGTCGAGATCAATAAGAGTTGCAATTAACAGCTCGAGCTGCTTCAGATACAAAAGATTAGTTAAAAGAAGGACCCCACAACCAAACTAACATTAATTGCTCGACCAGATTAGAAACGTAAATACATAGAGATATGAACCTCTTCAGGATCAGTATAGTCAATTCCATCAGCTTCAGAGAGAGCAGATGCCATACTCCAGTAAGCTTCCTGTACACCATTTATACGATTATTAATGTCCTGAATCGCAAGAAAGTGAGGAAGAAAGAGAACTGGAGATAGCCAGGAAATAGGGACCTGAATTGCAGTAATGCGATCAGTAGATACTTCACCAAAAGGGAAATCAAGACTTTTGCCATTCTTTTCAAGCATTATACGCCCCAGCATGTCATTTTCTGATACAATACCATTTTCGCTATGCAGAGGACTGGATATGAGCATGTCAGATCTTATGTTTCAAAGGTAGATATACAACTAATAGAGGAGATCTAATGAATAAGGAAGTTAACAATCACAAAAGAAACTTACAAATTGTACATTTTGCTCACCATCCGGTCATGAATATTTTTGACAAACTGCAAAACAATATGAAAAAGGCATTAGGGAATCATACTTGTTCAAAACAATATGATCCTTGGAGAGTATCGCAAAGCAAATGAAGTTCACCTCCAAAGCCATTAGGGCATCTTCCATTGCACGTTGTTTGGCACGGAAGTCAGCGCGGCGCAAATCAGCCTAAAATGAATCATAAGACAGCATCAAGAATGTATACTTTAGTGCATTAGTGCAGTTTTTACTGATTCATCAAGACAGCATCAAGCAGAGCACACTGTTTTCACCGTATATGTTGTCTACTCACTGTAAATACACTATTTTAAGAAGTTCACATGGTTAATTGATGCACTATTGTATTATTTAGATTTCTTTAAAGTTTTCTTCAAAATTTCTATGTTGCAACAAACAACAGATAGAACCCAACAATTTTTTTGTTTCTGTTTTTTTATGGTACCTCTAAGGCTCCGTCACTCCAATGCTTATCAGCGGCAGTTTTCAATCTAGACTCTGCTTTGTCTTTTAAGATCTGT